CTGAAGTGAAGTCTATGAACAGCATTCTGACGTATGAGTCTTTTTTGTCCAGGTGTGTGAGTGCTGAGTGGAGGGTAGTGGCGATGGCGTCATCGGTCGAGCGTTTGGACCGATATACAAACTGGAAGGGGTCCAAGGAGGAAGGGAGGGCAGACTTGATGTGTTGCATGACTAGCCGTTCAAAGATAAGCATGTGTCAAAAGGGAGAAAAAAAAGTTTGGCAAAAGGCGGGATCGAACCCGGGTCGATCGCGTCAAAAAGCCAAGGACACGCACTTATCCATCTGCGCCGCTGGAGCTAATGTTTTACAATTTAATATTATATTATGCATTTATATTGCAACGAACAAATCTGAATTAACATATATAATATATATATATATGTTTTTGCTGAGATTTGACAATTTTGCATCACGCAATGTCATCACAACAACTTTTAGCAACAAATCAACCTTCCTTTAGCAACTCTTGCCTCAGTGTTTAACGCCCCACCGTTTCCGTTTAAAAACGTTATGCACCGTTTTGTCTGGGCTGAACGCAGGCCTGTTCTAAATGACTACTGCAGTGTCCAATCATTGACCTCCGCGTGGTGCCTCGCTGTTTTTATTGGACTACAGTGGTGATTGACAGTTCCCGTCCGCCAGTAATATCGCCGGTTCTTCTCCGGAAGGCGTCACCCCCGCCGGTCCCATTTTCTGTAGTTTTCGGCCATTTCATTTTGATGCGCGTGAATCGTAACGGGACAACATGGCGACGCAGACGGCCCGCTACTACAGCGAAAGCGGCAGAGCAACGAAACGCCAGAAAACGGAAAACGAGGGGGGAATGGCGACCGTAAGACACACCTTTGCTTACACACTATCAGTTATTTTATTACGGACTTTATATGACTTCTCTTTAGCTAGCTAGCTGGCTAAAATAGCACTAACGTTAGTTAGCGAACAAGCTAACCAAACAATTGAGCTACAACGCACTGCTTTTTCTGCACCAAAAGCATGACAAAAACACAAATATGAAACCATAAAATGATTATGTAGCGAATGTTTGATGTGTTAGTAAGAAATGCTTGTATTTTGCACGCCACATATATTCTGAAAAGCTGCTGAATGAATGGGTAATGCCGCGTGGAACCGTAAACACATGAATTGTGCGTTATTAATCACAACGAGCGGGAAAAATATAACGTACATGACAATTAATACATATACATTTATAGATACACGGTAAGGACAGTATACACCGCGTGTTACACACAAATTGCAATGTTTGTATTTAGAATATTTTTCTTGTTATAAGTTATGAATACTTATTATGTATTTCATAGGAGGACTATGTTGATCCGCACAAGACCCTCCCCTCTCTTGTGGTGCATGTCCGAGGTTTAGTGGACGGAGTTTTGGAGGCCGACATCGTTGAAGCCCTGCAAGAGTTTGGAACCATCAGGTAACTTGTGCTACGTCTCCGTCGGTTGTGCCATACTGTAATTCTGCCTGTAGTGAAATGCATTGAGGATCACATCTCTCCATCTCTCTCTGCAGCTATGTTGTACTCATGCCTAAGAAGCGTCAAGCCCTTGTTGAATATGAAGATATGAATGGGTCTTGCAATGCTGTTACTTACGCCAACGACAACCAGATCTACATCGCCGGACATCCTGCGTTTGTAAACTACTCTACCAGCCAGAAGATATCCCGGCCGGGTGACCCAGATGATTCCCGCAGTGTTAATACTGTTTTGCTACTCACAATCATGAACCCAATTTATCCTGTTACCACGGTAATGCCCACATCCACTGTGTAATATCATTGATGCTTTTATTATACAAAATGAGATTCTGATGAAATCCGAGAGCTCTCTGACCCTCCATAGACACTAAAGTTCTTGTTGTTCTGCAGGATGTTCTCTATACTATTTGCAACAACTGTGGTCCTGTTCAAAGAATCGTCATCTTTCGGAAGAATGGTGTCCAGGCCATGGTGGAATATCCTTTACTGTTTCAGACTGCAGATCAAAGCTGTTTGGTAGATTCTGCTAGCTGTAATTTGTGTTCACGAGTCATTACGCTCTTGTCGGTTAAGTCCACTTCTCGCATGTGGACTATGAATGTCTTGCCAGCTTTGTAAGGAAGTTTCTGTCCAAACCAATTAACTTAAAGGGATAGTTCACCCAAAAATGCAAATAATATCATTCATTACTCAGCCTCATGTCGTTCCAAACCCGTAAGACCTTCGTTCATCTTCGGAACACACATTAAGATATTTTTGTTGAAATCCGAGAGCTCTCTGACCCTCCATAGACAGCAAGGAAAACTACCACGATCAAGGCACAGAAAGCTAGTAAAGACATTATTGAAATAGTCCATGTGACGTCAGGGGTTCAACCTTAATTTTACAAAGTTACAAGAGTACTTTTTGTGCGAAAAGAAAACTGAAATAACAACTTTATTCAACAATTCTTCTCCTTCGCGTCACCTTGGGGCACCATTTTGGAGAGTATCACGACGCGTGCGTGGGATTTTTCCTGACATGTAAACAACGAATGCGCCTGGTGCAGCTGACGTTAAATACGCCTGGTTTACACTTAAAGGAGAGCATGCGCATGTGTCGTGATACTCTCCAAAATGGTGCCCTAGGGAGAGAAAAAAGTACTCTCGTAGCTTCATAAAATGATGGTTGAACCACTGATGTCACACGGACTATTTCTATAATGTCTTGATTACCTTTCTGTACCTTGATCGGGGTAGGACCCTTGCTGTCTATGGAGGATCAGAGAGCTCTCGGATTTCTGCAGAAATATCTTAATCTGTGTTCCGAAGATGAACAAAGGGCTTACATGTTTGGAATGACTTGAGGGTGAGTAATTAATGACAGAATTTTCATTTTTGGGTGAACTAACCCTTTAAAGTATGTTGCCTTCCATGAATACTTTAAATAATAACCTCTGTAGTCAGGGAACACAAGATTACCTTTGTTTTTCTTTAATTCCTCACACATTTGATTCAGTTCAGAGTTCCCAAAGGGCCAAGGCCTCACTCAATGGGGCTGATATATACTCTGGCTGTTGCACGCTAAAGATCGAGTATGCCAAGGTGAGGTTCATCTAAATTTTATGGGTGATTAATGCTACAATAATTCACTCATTATTTTTCAGACATTTGACAATACTCTGTGCATTTTCTGAATGGCTTCAAAATGTGGTTTTAGAGGAACCATTTATTTTGTAAAAATAATTTTTAATTGTAAAAAATGTATAGCCTGAATGCACTGTAAGTCGCTTTGGATAAAAGCGTCTGCTAAATGCATAAATTATTAAATTAAATAATTATTATAATTTATTTTGTAACCAGTAAGCAAGAAGTAAAAAATGAGTAAAAAAACCTAAAAGCTTAATTAATCAATGCACCAATATATAATAATAAACATACTAATGCATAATAATGAAATTATATTTATTGACATTTACCCACATATTTTAAGTAAATACTCTTATCACCCAGCCCTACTCAAGCTGGTAGAACTATATTTTTTATTTAATTTACTTTTTTTACTCTTAGCCAACACGCCTTAATGTGTTCAAGAATGACCAGGACACATGGGACTACACCAATCCGAACCTGAGCAGCCAAGGTACCGTTTACTCTACATCTGCGCTGACATTTCTCTGCGCCCTTACTGCCACTGTGGGGAAAATAAGTGGGTGGGATTGGGACGTCTTAGAATCGCAGCAATGAATCCGCTGTTTCACCTCCCCTGTGCAGAGTGTTAGGCATACCATCGTCTACACCACGTTTTCTATGTTTTCGTGACTCTCTGAGGGGAAGGTAAAGCCGTATCCCTGTGGTCTTCAGAAAATGTTTAGAATGTTTTCCTGCCGATATCTCACAAGCTTCCTTTTCCAGCAAAGCCTGTTACATGACAGTAGTGTGAGGGGCAAGTGGCTTACTGGGTTGGCACCATAGAGGTAGATTATCAGACACCTTTTACGATTAACATGAAACTACGTTTGCAACCCATTTTACTTTTCCAGGTGAAGTCATATTTAAGAAAAAAACTGGAGGGGGGCTTGATTTAGTCTATTGGGAATTTATTAGACTGAAAAAAGTGTTTGAAAAATAATAGGGCTTGATGATGAATGTCTTTTTTGAGCAGTGCTATATTGTGATATGTTGTTCTTTGGAATAACATGCATTGATTAATTGGCCGCCAATGGTGTGCCCAAAGAAATTCCTGTTGCGAACTAATTGCAGGTCAACGAACCAATGATCTTTTGAACAAGATGTTCTTTGGTGCTGGCCATTTGCCCCTCACATTCATGCGGTACATTTTAGAGACCAAAACGAAAGCACAGAACTTTCCAGAATATCAAGTGCAACAACAGAACACTTAATACATCTGGACACTGGGGGACATTTCCTAGATTTCACTGGAGACACAAGTGCCTCAGATTTCCACCACTGCACCAGTCATCAAACTGCCTCCTATACCTGTGAGAATATTTCTCCAGAAGGACAAACACTCATTTTACTTTTGTGAAACTGCAAGGCGTCCTGACAAACACCTGATAGCGCAACATTTAGCACTCATCACCTCCTACAGAAATGACACTGCCAGCGAAGACATTGAAGGATTTGGGGTTGTCGGTGCAAGTAGTTATGGCTCCCACACCCATTCAACTTTCTCCCGTTGTTTCTTACGGGTCAAGAGCAAGACACACTCCACTGTGACACACCACCTTATCCTCACTGCTAACAAGGGATGATTTTGACACGCATCCTCAAGTGACACCGCAACACAATGCAAACAGACCTCTTCTCTTCATTCATGTCAAACTGCTGATGTCCACAGCCTTCTCTGAACCTGTCTGTCTTTTCTGGGGTACGTCGTCTTTCTCTCTCGCCATGCCGATCGTTACAACACAAACCCAGACACCTACAAATCGACATGCCTGACTCTTCACTCGTCAACAGCTGATGACACTAAACCACTCGAGACATCGAAGACACTGCAGACATTTTGACAAGCAGACGCACTGACATGCAGACAGCCGACACATCAAGTTTTTTTTTTTTTACTCCGTTAAGCCCTGACATTCTGCCCTGGAGGCTGGTGTTTCAGATACGCTCTCTTTCCCCAACATGTCCTCTAGTCCTTCCCTTTCACGATAACTCCTCTCTCTTTCTGTCAATATGTGACATATTTTCCCTTTTTTTCCAGTCGTTGACTACTGTGTAACACCTTCCGTATGATGCAGGTTGGCTTTGTGTCTCTAGTGGAAGTACCAGTCAGTCTGAATTGGGCATAAATTGCTCCAGCTTTTCAACCACCATGGGAAAGACAGGCATTGAAATGAAAATACGGCGTGTGTGCTGGCATCAGTGGAGCATTGAAACCCATCTGAAACAAGGAAGAGTATTTGGGAAATCAGTGGAATGGACTGGTGGGGGGAAGAAATGGAAAGTTCTTAAGTGCGATATGGAGGGCGATGCCATGAAGACGCTCAACGGTGGCTAATTTACGGCATGTTCTACTTGCCCCATCCTTCAACCCCCAACCCTTGCGTTTGTACTGTAAGTAACCCCAAGCTTCTGTTGTCTTGGAGTGATACGCTTCTAGTCTAATGTTTCATGGGGGTGTTTGACGAAATGTTTGACTAACTTGATATTTTCCTCTCCAGTTGAGTGTTGTTGTGTGTTTTTGTCTTCCTCATTGGGCTACCAATTGATGTAGATCAGCAAGGTGCATTAAAATGTGTATTGCTGGGATGGGTTGTTCTTCTGTGAGCAACATTATTATACTTGTGATCTTCAGAGATGTTTTGCGTGATTAGTACCCCTTTTCCACCGACAGGGCACTAGTTCCCATCCCTGGCACCATTTTGTGTGTTTACACTAATTAAATGGCCCGCTATGCCACTAAAGCCCAAAATATACTTGAGTTTTATGCATTCACTAGAGTGTGCGTACAGTGTTCAGTGTGAATTTCTTCATCACCGTAATAGTGTATGTGTGTATAGCTTTTCTAACCATGCATATGTTAAAGGGTTAGTTCAGCCAAAAATTAAAATTAGCTCATAAATTACTCACCCTCGAGGCATATTAGGTGTATATGACTTTCTTCTTTCAGACAAATCCAGTCGGAGTTATATTCAAAATTGTCTTTGATCTTTCAAGCTGTTTAATGGTAGTCAGTGGGTGTTACGGTGCTTCAGTTCAAAAAGTTAAATAAAAAGCGCCCATCCATAAAAAATAAAAAAAAAGTGTCTCACGGCTCCGGGGGGTGAACAAAGGCCTCCTGTAGTGAATCGATGCATTTTTGTAAGAAAAATATCCATATTCAAAACATAATCACTTTAATCTAGCTTGCGCCAACAGTTGTACACGGAAGCAGTTCCGGGAGCATCATGTATGAGTTCAGCGTTGCGCATGTGCCGGTGAGTCTCGTGAAAACCAACGTTTGTTAACAGGAGCAAAGGAAGCAAAGTTTCCTTACTTTAGCAAAGGAAAACCAGTCTCCTGTTGTCTTATATCAAAATCCTCTGACAATGTTCTTTACAAATCCTCGTTTTGTACCTCTAGTTAGTGACCGTCCTTGCGCTTACGCGTTCGTCACTGCTGAGCGGCGCATGCGCAACACCGACCTCATACGTCATCCGCCCGGAGCTGCTTCCGTGTACAACAGTGAGCGCAAGCTAGATTAAATTGATTATTACGTTTTAAATATGGTTATTTTTCTTACAAAAATGCACAGATTCGCCACAGAAGGACTTCCTTCACCCCCCGGAGCCATTTGAGACACTTTTTTTTTTTTATGGATGGGTGCTTTTTATTTCACTTCTTTTGGACTGATGCACTGCAACACCCGCTGAGTGCCATTAAACCGCTTGAAAGATCAAGACAATTTTGAATATAACTCCGACTGGATTTGTCTGCCTTGAGGGTGATTAATTTATGGGCTAATTTTCATTTTTGGGTGAACTAACCCTTTAAGTTCTCATATGCGGCAAACATTTTTGCATTTAATAGTTGCTCCACAAGGTGGCAACACTGTTTTGTAATCCCGAAAAAAAAAAGAAAGAAATGGATGCGATGGAACAACAATCTACAGCAAATGCAAGCAACAGTATACAGCTGTGTTGACAAGTACAAAGACATTTTATCGGTCATAAATTCTGAAGAGAGAAATTTCGTAGACAAAGGACCGTGATGAAACTTTACTGTGCGATTGCCCATGCTGTCAAATGGAGTATACTTTGAAACGCTGTGTTTGGCTGTACGCATACACTGAGCTTTCGCTTTAAAGCTGAAGTATTCTTTGGGCTTAGAATCATTGGTTGAGGGATGAGATAATGTCCGTACCATGTAAAAGTTTTCAAAACGGCTAATCAGTCTGTCTAATGTAAAACAGAACTAGATTGCACAAACAAAATTATCACGTTTCTAAATTTCCCGAGCTGCCCAACTACTTCAATTTTTTTTATATAATTAAATAAGCTTTTGGCAATTACATCAATGCTAGCTTGTATTGTACCATATTAGTTTGCGGTGAAGTGATCTAGTCAGTAAAAATGTGAGTCCATTTTGAGACCCAGCTGAACACAATCACCAGCACCATTTTGGTGGTAAAGGGGGTTTAGGAGAAGAGAGGCCTGCCATCATTTTCAGTTGCGTCTTTTGTAAATAGCAATGTTAATAAAGGCATGGTGCCCTAAGCATTTAAGATCCTAAATAGAGTAAGAAACCTGTTGTGAGATTGATGTTTGCACTGTGTGTACCTGAACAGGTGCAGATGCTGATGGCAATGGGGGCAATCAAGGTGTGTGTCTGCAGTAGACATTCTGTCCTCCCCCACCCACACACTCCCAAACATAATATATGACATAATTACAGGTTGTTCGGGGCCGGTACACCCCCAAAAGAAAGCCTGTATGTTTATTAGCCAGCTGGCTGTGATAGACAGGTTTGTAAGTGGTAATTTCATAGGTCAGTCTCACGAAACCTGACGTAACATGACATTTCACTCTGAAATTAAAAGAATGAATCTCATTTTAAATAAAGAAAATGAACCCTGTAATTATCATTAATATAAACATCCCCACCTCAATTACAAGTCTCATTACTGTAATTCAAAGACTATACTGCTGTAAATGTATCGTAGTATTTTTAAGCCCCATTGCAGTATTTTTATACAAAAGGACTAAAGATCTTCAGACATTATGATGATGACAGTTTAAGGAGAAAATGGGCTTGATTTGTCATGAAAATGTTACCATACAAAATTCAGTGATTTAAAAGTAGGCTTCATTTTCTTTACGCAAATGTACCTGTTTTTTTGGGGGTAAAATGTAACCCTAATATTATCGGCCCTTTTTTTCTGGTATCTTATGTGTCCCCTTCTCTGCTGAACTGAAAGCTCATGCCAATCACATTAACATTCACAAAGTCAGTGTCCTGTCGCCTCAGCGGACTCATCTTTCCCTCTCTCTCTTGTCCTCTCTCTTTTTGGCCCCTCCCCCTTTCCTATCTTGGCCCTCTTCCTTCTCTCGCCTCTCAGATATGAACGCCAACCCCAACAAGCGCCAGAGGCAGCCGGCTCTGCTGGGAGACCACCCTCCAGAGTATGGTAAGGCTTGCAGGGGCACACGCGTTAACACATTTGCCTCATTTGCTCGCAAACAGGGGAGTGAATGTTAAAACGACAACAAATTGGGGTGCTTTTATCACAGTGGCAGCAAGATGGTCCTGTGTTGACGTTAAAACTTAAACTGAAGTGAAGGGTGTGTAAAATGTTTGTTTACCCCTATCCTGCCCACAACGCCCACCCCAACGCGGTCCGTTTGTCGTTTGTGTATTCTCAGGAGGTTATCACGGATACCAAGACGAGAGCTACAGCGGATCCTATGAAGGCCGACGGATGGGGCCGCCCATGGGTGGTCCAAGGCGTGGTGGAACCAGTCAGCGTTACGGTGCACAATACGGCCCCCCACCTCCGCCCCCCGGTGAATATGGCGCACATGCAGACTCACCAGTGATCATGGTGTATGGCCTGGATCCCTCAAAAATAAATGCAGACAGGGTCTTCAACATCTTCTGCCTGTATGGAAATGTGGAACGGGTATGTAGAATGGCGAAAAGTAAGTTGGGTACCGCCAAAATGCACACAACTTTATCTGAAATCCACTTTTCCCCTTTTAATGTAGGTGAAATTCATGAAGAGCAAGCCTGGAGCTGCTATGGTGGAGATGGGGGACTGCTATGCTGTGGATCGTGCCATCTCACATCTCAACAACAACTTCCTGTTCAATCAGAAGCTCAATGTTTGGTAATTGTTGCAATCGTTCCAATTGGAGTTTTTTAAAATTTTGTAATAATAGCAGCCTGATTGTCCGTGATTCATTACATAGTGTTTAATAGAAGAAAATAAGATTCTGATATTTTGAATATATTTGTGACAGGTTTGCTATATATTGTTTAATCATTAACTCTTTCCCCGCCATTGACGAGTTATCTCGTCTTTTACAAGAAAACGCTTCCCCGCCAAAACCTTGTTTTTATGGCTTTTCGTGTTTTCAGTGTTATAACCTCGGGGGTGCTATTACACATCTTCTGAACGAGGACTAAACCTTCCGAACAAAAACACACGTGAACAGGACGGAGAAACGAGCGATCTCTTAAGTAAACAGATGCATATGAAAAATAATGCGATCATCAGCAATAGACAGCATATAAATGAAAACTGCATAATGTTACAGAGTAAAATGTTGATCCAGGAAGTGGTATATGTCTGAGCAAGCTTTGGAGGTATTGATGGAAGCGATTTATGCTTTGATAATTGTACTGAATATTATCCAGATGTAGTTTTTGAAGAAAATTCGATTTTCTCACCTTTTTGCTCAAAATTATGCATTTTTTTATGAAACCTACCTATATTCAAGTGTTGATAAAAAAAAGAATGCTTTAAGCTAGAATTAAACAGATTTTTTTGTTTGTTTAAAAGTAGAGGCTCTGATCTTTATTTTGGTGTATTGCATTTTCAAATATTCATACAGCAAAAAATACTGGAGGCCATCAACTCTGAGTGAAAATCATCAAAATCGCTGGCAGTGGCTGGCAACTTTTTTCAGAAATGCTGGCGGGGAAAGAGTTAAAGGCATTAAAAATGCTATCATTGTGTTAAAATACTTAGTTTTGTCTAATTATTTTCGTTGAGATTTTTTTTAACACTACAGTAAAAGAATTTGAATGAAATCAAAGTGTTAAAACAGTTTTGTCTAATTATTTACGTAAAAAAATGAGAATAAGAATTCGAAGGGAATCAGTAAAATGCGAATTTAATTAATTTGTTAAAATATGACTCCATGTGTGTACATACGGTTTGATCAGTTGTTTTCTTCATTGTGTCAGTGTGTCTAAGCAGCAGGCCATCATGCCCGGTCAGTCCTATGAGCTGGAAGACGGGACCAGCAGCTTCAAAGACTTTCACGGGAGCAGAAATAACCGTTTCTCCTCTCCAGAGCAGGCAGCAAAGAACCGCATTCAGCATCCCAGCAACGTCCTACACTTCTTCAACGCAGCACCCGAGGCTTCACCAGACTCCTTTACCAGGGTCAGTTCACATTACAGGAAGTCAGGACCTTTCTTGTCACATAATGTTATTCGATGTGTACATTTACAACCTTCATCTGTTTTCAGGTCTGTGAAGAACTTGGGGTAAAGAGCCCTTCCAATGTCAAACTTTTTGCAGCTAAAGGTGTGTGAAAACGTACTGTCTTTAACTGATGTGTGGTAAATAACGGCATAGAAAGCCAAACTCAGCATGAAATAATTTAAAGTGTGCCCTATTAACTGGTAATGTCATCCATACTCCTTCATTATTGTAATGTGTCCAGTGCCTCTTTTTCTTTAATGAATAGGTTCCACATCAGAGAGGAGTTCGTCAGGGCTTCTGGACTGGGAGTCTGTTAATGACGCCATGGAAGCTCTTGCTATGATGAACCATTACCAGATGAAAAACCCCAGTAAGTGACTTCATCATCTGTTTTAGATTTTGTTGACATTAATTGGTTGTGTCAGGGTTTCCAACAAAATTAAAGTGAATTTAATAAATAAAAAGGTATGCATGTATGTATTTGGCTGCTAGGGGTGGGCAATATGACCCAAATTTTGCTAGTTAAATTTCATGGTATGAGAAATTGATATCACTGTAACTATATATATATATATATATTAGTTATTTTAATTTTGTCATTAAAAATAAGAACAAAAGCAATTTACAAATACAATAGAACAAAGATACTAATGAAACATTTTTCAGATACAGTAGGTTTTATTCAGTGTGATGTAAGAAATAATATAGAAGTTGAATAATCAAGTGTAAACCTAAAACGCTGTATAGTCTTCACTGTATGAATCACATATAAATTGATTCTTATTAAAGATACAAATTTAGTCGAGCAGTGAGTGATTTTTCTCATTTTTTTGTTGTTTGATTAATATTCACGACACAGACAGCAGCATTTAAATTAGGCTGCTGTCCCTTTTAAGACCGAATGCACTGATCCAATATACAGAGAAATGTTTTTTACCCAGCTGTTTACTTTTACTTAAGACATAACCTACTGTGTTCACGTGAAGACTGCACATTTTGACATCTGTGTCTATTTGCCCGTTCAAACACAAGCTGCAAAAGAGAACTGAATTCGTGATGACGTGATGTCAAATACGCCATTTTACTGGACAGTTGTAATTTGCAACAGTAATGTGTATATCTCTGTTCTTACTTTTCCCAGCGCACACAGCTTTAATGCTAGAAAATGTGGATTTATCCTTTGCTTTTCTGTTTCTCTCTGCAGGTGGCCCATACCCA